TTTTTTTTTTTTTTTTTTTTTTTTTTTTTTGGGCACAAAAAGGGGATGCTTGAGTTGAAAAAACTCCAAATGTAGGGAATTTTGATTCCATTTGAGATTTGGTAGAGATTTTTCTTTTCCTTTTTTGTTTGGGATTGAAAAAGCTTCTTTGGATTTTGATTCATTTCTCTTTACACTCTAAAAGTTTGAAACTTGGTGTATGGAATAAACCGACATACACGTGAGTTTGGAGGTTGAAATTTTAATTATTTCTTATTATTTAAGAAAGAAAAAATAAATGTGTGCCTTGACAATTATGTTAAATCTGACTTAGAGTAAAAGGTAGAAAAAAGAATATGAACTTGAGTGTGATAAAATGTTTGAAATCCGGTGTATTATTAAAATAGGAACGTACTTGTTGTATTGGGCTCAAATGGTAATGGTACCATAATTAGGCTTGATATCGAGATGTCTGGCCCAAATGAAATGAGAAGAAGAAGGGGGATATTGTTGTGTTGTCGTCAGGGACAGTGGACAACCTTGGTCACTTACGTTGTACGTGCGCTTGTCCTTCCCCCCCCCCACCCTCCTTCACTGTCTTGTCGTGGACTATGGTCAAACGTCTTTGTTTTCTTTTCGTCTCAATTCAATTATCAGCGTTGTAATTCTAGAGAGAAACCATATATATTTTATTATTTTGGTATATTAAAATTGATTTTGGGTGGTACTGAAATTGACAAGAAGAAACAGTGAGTTTAGGGTGGTGGATGGAAGGGGCAGGCAGGCACTAGGGGGGCCTAGTTGAGGACAGTGGAGGCCTCACTTTCAAGGGTATCACTCGGTCGCCGGGTGATCCCAACGCCCAACAGTGTGTCGCTGTGTTGCCACTTACCACTCACGTTGCCCACCACCATCCTCACTTCAGACAAACCACACAACCCCCCTCTTCTCTCTCTTTTCATTTCATTCACCCATCTCTCTTCCTTCCCCCCGTTTTTGTTCCAATCACGAAATTCGTCAAATGTCATATAAAAAAGAGATAATACCTGATTTATAAACTTATGATCTTGTCTTTCATTACCTAAAAGAGGCAACCAAGGAGACTAGCTTGCTTCCACTCGTGGCGGGCGAAGGGTCCAAAGAAAGGACACTCAGCGTGAGACTCACAATCTTCGATAATTTCTTATATATATATATATATATATAGGGTTGGAGTTAGACTTTTATAAAAGTATCTTATATTTTAGAAATAAAGCAACTTCTGAAGGAATCCCATCCCTTGACTGCCTTTTTAAATAAAAACTAAAAAAAATTAATTTTTTAAAAAATGTGACTCAAAAGGCTGTCGTTTTGAAAGAGGACCAACAACCCCACTTCTACCACCACCCCCAAACCCCTCTATCGTTTTCCCCTTTTAAATATTTATACAAATTAAAAGTTTAGTATTCTATTAAATATAAAATAAAATAGTGACTAATTGATTTTTAAATAAAATCTTCGGGTTCAGTAGACAGTTTATCGAAGGCAATAATAAGTATGCATAAAACTACGTAAACAAGAAAATAATTAGTGCAAGGGATTTACTAAAGGTTTGCTTGATTAAATACTTTTAATTTTTTTTTTCAATTTTATATATAGTTGCATCGAAATTTATTTAAAATTTTTAAAATGGAGAAATTTACTAGCATTAACTCTAATTTTTTTAATTAAATTTGTAATTAATGTGTTAAAGTTTGAATTTGATTGGGGAAGTAAAGTAAATTTGGGAATTGTTTATTTTCCTAAAGGTAAAGAAAGTTACGGTACTGTCATTAATCAATTGAAGGTGGATGTATTATTTAAATTTCACGTAATAAATCAGAAAAAAGAATGTTTTAGAATTTAAATATTGTCGAGGACACGTGGGTCCCTTTCATTTATCAATGTTTTGTTTATTTATTTATTTATTTATTTATTCTCCCCCTCTCGTACAACCCGTGATCGGGATTTGGGAATCGGGGGCTCATGCGCGCACCTTGCTTACGCGTCGCTTTGTAATTGGCGGGAATGGAAAATAAGTCATTCCAGTTGGGGTGACACGTGTACCCACGGCCCCATTTGTTTGACCGGAAATTAAGGATTTTTAAGGACAACCTAGGATTATATTATGTTTATATCTATATGTCTGTTGGCTAAGATTTAAACTTGAACTAATTTTAATAACAAGGGAGCCTTATGTAAAATTTGCCTCAATTATTGAACAAAACTCAAAACATTGTCGTTTTTCTCTTTAAGTCATACTAATTTTGTACTTTAAACATACTTTGATTCTCAATTAATGTGTATTTGGTATAATTTAAAAAATAGAAAATGTCTCTAAAGGGTAACTGGACAGTTACCAAATTAAAATTTGACCTGATAAATTGGAGTGACAAATTTTAAACTTTTCTATTTTTACATTATTTTTAAATTACAAAGCTTTTTACTCCTTTTCTTCTCCTAATCTTCGCCGGTGAAGACCAGCCTCGGCAAAGACCGTACCGCCGCTGGCAAGGAAGCTGTAATTAGAGGGAACATCAGTACAACTGTTGTAATTCATTAGAAGAAATTGATCGAACATGCGAAGGACGAAAAACAGAGTACTAAGGTGAAGAGGTTTCAGAATGAGTTGTCACTTGCTTTATTCAACACCAAACTGTTCAACATCAGCGGCAAACAAACTCCGGCGCCGAGTTCACGTCTCGTCTCACGAGCCTCGTCAATAAAAAAATTATGCAGACAATTTGTTTGTGAGTAGGGCGTATGTGATAATTGCAATTGGTAGCTAGATTCACACCATGATATCAAATCATATCAAACTCACACAATGTATAATTTCCCTCATACCCACCTCACATGCTGAGTGATTATGAATTATAAGGCAATTTAATAATTTCTTAAGCATTTTTAAAGTTTTAATTATTTTTTTAACCATTAATAATTTATTCATAAGCAATAATAATGGAGACCGGAGAGTTGAGTTTTGTAGTGTGTGTGGGGGGTAAAGTGGCGAAAATACCCTTTCAAGTGGTCGCTATCCTCGGCTTCACATGCGCAGTGGCCGCCCCCACAAAGGCCCAGACCCCACTCCGCCCCTCTCTCTCATCTAAAATACACTCCAGAGTCAGCAGCTTTCTCAGTTTCTGCCCTCTTCTTCCTCGCCTGCTCCGGCTGCCACCACGTCGCCCCTTCCTTCTTAACAGCTACCATCGGACCCTCTCTCTGTGTGTCTCTTGCCCTTTTCGAATAGAGCCATCGCATCGCCCTAATTCTGAAGCCTTTTGCGTCTCTATAGCCCACATCCTTTCATTTATTTCCTCTTCAAGAACCATAACCCTCTGTTGTTTACTAGACCAGGCATTTTCATTTGGGTCTTAATTCTTCTTTCTTTGTATTATTTCCTAATCGAATCAGAGTTTTCTAAACTCTAATTGATTGCGAGTTTGTTGGCTTCCTCCTCTCCTCTGCCTCACTATGGTTGGTTGGACACTGTTGATCTTCGGCTTGTGGGCTTCCGCCGCTCTCCCTTTGTCGTCTTCAGATCCCAACGACGAGGCTTGTCTCACTAATCTAAGCCAATCTTTAGAAGACCCAACTAACTCTCTCCACAACTGGACCAAATCCAACCTCGCCAACCCTTGCAATGGCTTCAACTCTTACATTCATGGCGCCACTTGCAACAGTGGCCGTATTTACAAGCTTTCCCTCAATAATCTCTCCCTCCGCGGCTCTATTTCTCCTTTTCTTGCTAACTGCACCAATTTACAAGCCCTCGACCTCTCCTCCAATTTTCTCACAGGCCCCATCCCTTCCGACCTTCAATATCTCGTTAATCTCGCTGTTCTCAACCTCTCTGCCAATCGCCTCACTGTCCAGATCCCTCAGGAGCTCGCATTTTGTGCTTATTTGAATGTTATTGATCTCCACGAGAATTTGCTAACTGGCCAGATACCTCAACGATTGGGTCTTCTCGTTAGGCTCTCCACTTTCGACGTATCTAATAATCGTCTCTCCGGACCAATCCCCTCCACTCTCGGCAATCGAAGCGGCAATTTGCCTAAATTTAACGCCTCCTCCTTCGTAGGCAACAAGGATCTGTACGGCTTCCCTTTGGCGCCAATGAAGAACAAGGGGCTTTCCATTATAGCCATTGTTGGAATCGGTTTAGGGAGTGGACTTGTCAGCTTGGTGTTGAGCTTCACCGCCGTTTGCATTTGGTTGAAAATTACCGAACGGAAGATGGTGGTTGAAGAAGGGAAAATTAGTCATCTCATGCCTGATTATTGATCTTAATCACCCATCAGAGATTATTAAGCTATCACCCGTTCTTGATGAATTTTCTGTTCAGGTATATACCATTTCCCCCCTTTTCGAACCAGTAATGGTCTACTCTTTTTCTTTTCCTTTTTTTTATTGGGAGATGCCGCCTCGATTTGATTCATCATCGGAGAGGATCTTTTTTTATTTTTTTCAAACTTTTTGCCCCTCTCCTATTTTCTTCCCGAAACAATCAACAATGTATAAAACCCACTGGTTATAATCGAGTTATCGCTCTCAATTATTATTACACATTTTGAAGAACAAAATTGTCTGCAAATCTCTCTCTCACTACAAAATACACAGACAAACAGTGCCTCTGTTCTTCACTAGTTCTGCCCTTGTCTGTGTGCCAATTTGTCTTGGTCAAATTTGTTTGTTTTTATAGCACCGTTGGCCATTTTTGTTCTGTTGCAGCAGCTTTAATCACTTCCCCCCATCCACAATTTTTCAAAATTTTCTGAATGTCTGGGCTTTACTTGAATTTAAGACATACCGTTATTAGACTCTACTGTGCAATTGCGTCAGCTACTTTTCCTTTACTGATCAAAACACTGTTTTAGCTTGGTGTGTACCCGCCGTGATCATGTCACAAACAACTTAGCTTTAGAGCTGGACAATCTGATACAAAACAGTCGTTGAATACTAACTTTTCGAGTTTAGAATTGCTGTTGAACGAATCATAAAAAGCAGAAAAGATCTTAAAATGCCTTACTTCTTGTAAATAGATTGAACCCGATTCCAAAATTGAATTCGGTTTAGATTTAAAGTTCAAATTTCCACTGCAACATAAGAAACAAGAACAAGTATCTAAAACAAAAACGAGTAACTCGCGACCCGTCAGATTCCATACTAAAGCTTGTGAGTATTGAATTCGACTAAGGGTGGTGGGTGTAAAGTTGTATCGAGCAATACTATTTAGGGGTAAATCCACTATTTATTCCCAAGCACAAAGTCAATGCTTACAATAACAACAGACAAGTGGAAAATACTCATTCCTATGGTTGATACTTGAAATTGCTATTGTTCATTAAAAAAAAAACGTGCGAAATTAGGAAAACTCATTGGATAAGGTAAAAAGCCACGTGTCCCATCTGAAATGAATAACTTCCTTCAATAAATTGTAATTGAAGGCTTCCATGGTCTAAAGTAGGCGAGCGGCATCTATAAATCCGTATTTTTAAATTTTATATCATTGACGGATGGAATGATGGGTGAGGGTGACGTTATTCAAATCTATTTCACTATTATTTCTATTTATTATTATTTTTTTTAATAATTTTTCAAAATTTTATTATTCGATTATAAGTAGTATAGCCACGCCACCATCGCAAGCCGACCGAGAAAATGGGCCCAATCATTTTGGGCTACGTGTCTTCAACTGGGCTATTGACCCGACCCATGCCCGAACTCGGCTCCCTTTCAACGTCCGACCCTACCGTCCAGTCCCACCCAAAACCCTACGAAACCCCTGCGTCTTCACAGTTTTACCTCCTGTTTTCGGTTGATTCGTACTGAAACAATGGAGAGGCTTTCCAAAGAACTTGAGCAGGAGAAGGAAGGCTTAGAAGATGACTTGAGTTTCGAAGAACTTGGGTTGGACCCTCGTCTAGTTCGCGCGCTAATCAAGAAGGGAATTTTAAAGCCAACACCCATACAACACGTTGCAATTCCGTTAATTTTGGTACGCATTTAGACATTAGGGATGGCTCTGGTATTTGTTGCCTCCGAGGAAGAATTTTGTGACGTTCTATTTGTTTCAGGAAGGAAAGGATGTGGTGGCTCGGGCGAAGACTGGTTCTGGGAAGACTTTCGCGTACCTCCTTCCATTGCTTCAGAAGCTGTTTACTGGTTCTAGTACGGAGAAGAAGTCAGGTCCAAGTGCAGTTCTTCTCGTTCCGACTCGGGAGCTCAGTCAGCAGGTATGCCTTCTTAGAAGGATCTGAGGGAGGTTGTAGGTGTATTCCTACTTGATTCGCCTGTTACTGAATTACTTGTGTGTACCATACATTCAGGTTAATAAGGAAGTTTCATCCCTCGTTGAATCCTGTCGAGTTCAATTGAAAGTTTCCCAATTGACAAGCAGCATGTCACATTCTGATTTGGTTGGTTCAGGTTCATCTTTTTTACGGAAGTATATTGGAAGGAATACATTCTGAAACAAACTGTTAGATATAGCAAAGTGATTGAGGCTGTAGTGCTGGATATTGATTTTATTTGATAAATGTCTCTTGCAGCGAACAGCATTGGCAGGACCACCTGATATCATTGTTGCTACGCCTGCTTGCATTCCCAAGTGCTTGTCTGCTGGCGTTCTCCAACCAGCCTCCATTAATGAATCACTTGAAATTCTCGTTCTGGATGAGGTAATAATATGGTAGTAATTTGATGAGCATTTCATGACTCTAATCATTTTCTCTACGAGTGGTTGTATATGGCGTTTTATGTTTGTGGTTCAACTTTAAAACCAATGAGTAGAAATGGAGAATACACCTGTTAGCTCTGCTTGCCATTTGTCATCAACATGAAGTGCTAATAAAAGTTCGTTGGCGTATTTTCTTTGAATGGGGCCCATTTTGTACCTCTTTGGATAATTTCATTCAATGAATATATATATCACACTGAAAAAAAAAATCTTATACGATTAAGTGTTGGTAGATAAATTGCTTTTTATTTGTTTCCAGGCTGATTTGCTATTGTCATATGGCTATGAAGATGATATTAAAGCTTTTGCAGCTCACATCCCACGTTCCTGTCAATGCCTTCTTATGTCCGCTACATCAAGGTTATTATTTTTGCTGCCTTAACAAGCTGTATTTTTTCAATGACTGCAGGCCGATATAATTTTTGATGCTTGCTGTTGGTAGACTGTTTTTTAACTTTATGGGAGTTTGCCCCACTTTTGTTTTTGTTTTTCTTGCTGTTACCCATGGAAGGCTATATGTATTCACACTTCGCCCTCTAAGTTTCTAACTTGTTTAAAATTAGCTTAGTTTCATTTTATCCCAAGTTATTGGTTTGTGGAATTTTGTGCATCGTTTGATCAATTAATGCTGATATTCTATGTTGGTCTTTGGATGTCTGACAGTGAAGATGTTGAAAAATTGAAGAAGTTGATCCTGCATAATCCGTTCATCTTGACTTTGCCAGAGGTGGGAGATATTAAAGACGATCTAATTCCGAAAAATGTTCAACAATTTTGGGTAAGTTCCTCTGCTCTCACCGTGAATTAATCAGATATTATTCATTCCCCGGTGAAACTGTTGTTTCCCTTGAGGGAACATATTTACATTGGTACTCCTCTAGAGTGAAATCATTAACATTGGTACTCCGGTAAATGTGTAATCATCACTTTAAAATAAATCAAGGTGATTTTTTTTACAATTGTCACATTCAGTTAGCTAGTATATGACTTTATTCTTTGTTCTCATCATAATAACTTCATTTTGACTTTCGCCAAGTATTAAACTTTGTTTTGTGTTTTCTTTCTTATTCATGTATAATCTCCTTTCTGTATTCGTATCTTGTTCAACAAATAAAAGTTCTGTTCTGTACCTACTTGTACGAACTTGTGTTTGGAAAGTAATAATGTGTGTTTTTTTAATGGTACAAGATCTCATGTGATGCTCGAGACAAGTTACTAAATATTCTTTCGCTCTTAAAGTTGGACTTGGTTCAGAAAAAAGTTCTTATATTCACAAATACCATCGACATGGCTTTCAGGTTGAAATTGTTTCTTGAGAAGGTAAATGACTCTGGTTCATTTTTTCCATCTATTCAGTACTCCACCTTTTGAATATTGTTCTTAACACGTATTTTTATCTTTATTTTATTTATACGATTCCTTTCTTGTATGTATATTTTGTACAAAGTTATCTAGTTCAGATGATTTCTGGATCATTGTTGTGTACTTTTGCTGTTTTGTTTTGCAGTAGCTTCTTTCTTTACAGAGATTTTAATTTAAATTCTTTATATTTCTACGTCATGTCCTTATATTTCTGAGGTACCTCCCTTACCACGCGTCCAAGGTGGGCATCAGGAAAGTTATTGTTGGTTGATTTGCCTGCTTACCTCATGCAGTTTGGGATCAAATCTGCTGTTCTAAATGCTGAGTTGCCTCAAAATTCACGCCTCCATATTCTTGAGGTATGCCTATTTGGACAAGCTTAGTGTTGGTACAGTTTACAGGGAGGTATATAACTATCGCTAAGCAATTTTGGTGTGTTATTATTGACCTAGTATGTACGTTTTGTTCTTTCTTTGGTTTGACAGGAGTTTAATGCTGGTCTGTTCGATTATTTAATTGCAACTGATGACGGTCAAACAAAAGAAAAAGAAGCCAACGAGGAAAGTAATGTTGATAAGAAAAGGTTCAGAAAACGTGCTAAGCAAAAAATGGATTCTGAATTTGGAGTAGTACGAGGAATTGACTTCAAAAATGTTTATACAGTATGCAAATCAATCTCTCTCTCTCTATCAACTCAATGCCAATTAATTTATTGCTTTTAAGTCTCTTAATGTGTTTGTAGTACAATGTACAAGTAGTCTTAATTAGTATAACATTATATAATACCTCTTATGATGTGAATTATCAATAATTATGTTACATAATTTATGTGTTTTCTGATATTTATTTTTTTTCAGTCTCTTGATGGTTTTACTGTCAAGTAAGCTATAAACAACAGATTTGCTGCCATCTGTTCAGGTTATAAACTTTGAGTTGCCTCCGAGTGCAGCAGGATATGTACATCGTATAGGACGTACTGGAAGAGCTTATAATACTGGTGCATCTATTTCACTGGTTGGTATTTTGAGATACTGTCTGTACCTCACGACGTTATAGTGATTTTTTCCTTGACATTCTCTTATGTTCTCTTTTTTGCATGAAGAACGTGCAGTTGGTAAATATAACCGCAAGTTTCCCAATGTTGGGGTTGATACCTAATTATTACTCTTTATTATTATTTTTTTTTTTTTGTCTCTCTACGGTGATAGGTTTCCTCAGATGAGGTGGAAACTTTTGGAGAAATTCAATCTTTTCTAAGAGCTGATGGAGATACAGACATTATTGTTCCTTTTCCATTACTTACTAAAAATGCTGTAGAGTCTTTGCGTTATAGAGCTGAGGTTTGTGTGATGCGTTTTATAGCATATTTCTCGAGGATGAACAATTAGATATTAAACTATCGTTATTGATGGGTTCTGCGTGCTTTGGCAGGATGTTTCTAAAAGTGTGACAAAGATTGCTATTAGAGAATCTCGAGCTCTGGATTTGAGGAATGAGATTCTTAACTCCGTAAAGTGAGTTGTTTCCTCTACTTTTCTAGATTTATGAGCAATGTTTCTATTCTGTTTGGTTTACGTTTGAAGACAATTATTTGCCAATTGCACACACCATCCAAGTTGTAATTATATTATTTAACCAGCATAACCATGTTTTTCTTTTTGTGCATATTATCCTATTGATTTTTTTAATGTAGGAGGGTTATTATGCCCATATTTACATCCATTTAATAACTTCATAACTTTTTCTTGTTCTGCTTCCTGTCTAGATTGAAAGCTCACTTTGAATCTAACCCGAGGGACTTAGGTATAACATCTTTTGCTGAATTTTTCGTTGTTTGCACCAACATACCCATTTATGCTGCATAAGTTGATTGGAATTTCTTGGGCAGATTTGTTGAAACATGATAAGACTCTCAGCAAGAAGCCCCCTGCTCCTCATCTGCGTGACGTACCTGACTATCTTGTCGACCCAGTAACTCAAGAAGCCAGCAAAGTCATCAAACTAGCTAGAGCAGCAATGGGAAATATACAGTCTGGTTGTCGGCGTGGGTTCAAGAGAAAATCTAGAAATGATAAAGATCCTCTTAAAACGTTTTTAGCTGAGGTACGGCTTTGCTGGTTTCAATCTGACGTTAATTTTAGAATAGTGATACTAATGGCACTCTTGCCTTGTTTCAACAATTTGGTCATTCACTTTCCCGCTTATTATTAATTGCGTTCCTACTTGTTTAAAATTAGGCTCCAAAAAAATCTCGACGCAGTGGGGGGGAAAAGAGAAGGCAAAAATGATGATCATGACAACAGACACAACAGAAAAACATCTATCTGATTCTTCTTTGGCTTGTCGATCTAGAATGGTCAACAGCCGGAGGATCACAAATTTGTATTGAGAATTAGTGTTAAATTATAGTGTAGTGGCCATCCAATGTAATAGTGACAATTTTTCACTGTGTAATTCCATCACAGCGATTTTGATTAAAAAGAAAAGTAAAATGAACGTTTATCACCATTGTAGTCGTTTCAATTTGTGGACTGTAGGGATAAAAAAAAAAAAAAAAAAAAAAAAAAGAATTCAGTTTTGATCAACACTGACGACTTCTTGCGAATTCTTAGCAGTGACATATATTGGATTCTTCCTTCTCAATAAGAATTTCCTCCCCAATTCTTTTCAGCTTCAAGTTTTCATGGGGTAACTGAGCATGGAGGGTTATGGCATCGCCTGGAAACAACTCCCCATGATTCCACCAATGACAGAGATGCCGAGTTCCAAAAGGTGTATTGGATTCTAAGGAAATTCCATGCCAGTGTTCAGAAACTCGAGCATGCTCTGCAGGACTCCGGTGTTGTTTTACGCACCTGTCTACCGGAACAAGTTTTGAGCAGGATTCTTAGCGCACATGAAAACTATAGAACCTGTAATTTAAGAGCCTTTTCATGAAGAATGATTCATTTTGTAGTTTCTATAAGAGATTTGGTTTTTAATATTTGGTGCATCATTGCTGCTGTTGGAACAATCTTACCATCCTTCATCATTATACTGAATTGATGAGAAGTATTCCTTTGTTTTTGGATTCAGTTTATTGCAGTTGATGCCATTGATCGGTCTATTCCATTACCGAGGAAACTACATATGAGACCTTGTGTGCAAAAACTTTCCACAAGGAGAAAGGTTAAATCTTCTACATGCTTATTGCAGCTTGCAGCTTCACTGGGAAACTGGAAACTGATATTTTACATCTATCACCGGAACGGTAAGGTATGAACTTTCAAACGATCATTTCCAAAGTAATAGTTCACTCCTTTTAACGTTTAGGAAAGGATCTCTAAATACGATAATCTGTCTCATCGTAAATTTCCTCCTGCAGTGAACAAAGATTAAGGGTAATCAAGCTTTGCAGTATTGATAGGAAGATGAAGCTGTAGATAGAGGATATGCTGCTATACCTGTAAAATCTCCTCAATGACATCTTCAAGTGTTATGATGCCAATTGCTTCCCCCTCTTCAGTAAACTTGGCCAGCATGTCATCTGCAATATGCAGGACCTCTGAGTCGAAGTCCTTGGACCATTTCTTACTTCCAGAAAACTTCCGATGGTAATTACTACGATCCACACATGTATTTAGCCTTTTCAGAGATCTCTTGCTCCTTAAACTCTTTTCCTGTGGATGATTTTCACCATCGATGTCCACTTTCACATCTCTTACTGCATGTGCATTTGTGTTATATGTATCATCGACCAAGTTAAATAGAAGTGAAGAAGGTAAATGCTTACCCTCAAGTTGAATCCCGCTAATGGGCTTCTCTGGATTTTCCTTTTCTCTTACTACCACGGCCATATGACTGTGACCTTTCTGGAAATCATTTAGTATGTCGTACAGTGGCATTGTTTCTGAGACCCTGATAGACAAGTTTGGATTCTTGGTGAAAATGGAAGTTGTTCTTTTCCTAACATGCAATATACAGAATAATTAGGAGCATAAAGTACCTTGGACATTTCCGAATGGGGAAGTTCTTAATTGGTACCCCATCTGGTGAATGCCCAGTTATTAAATTCTTCACCTACGATTTAAATATAATGATATCAGGTTAATGAATGTTATTGTAATTTTGTTAACGTTTGCATGGATAAACATTACCAACACGAGGCCAATGATATTTGCAGGGTGTTCATAAAACACAGGCACTCTGCTATGCCCCTTCTCCAGAATTAACTTGATCAAGTTGCTGCATAGTTTTCATAATAAGCATATTTATGAGGATGGAGGAGAGTGGAAGAATGAAGTTGGTGTCTGCGTCAAACCTGTCGAGATTAGCATTAATATCGATCGCAAAAGTTTCAGAAAGGGGAGTCATGACGTCTCTTGCGACCTTCTCGGTGAGTTCCAGTGCTCCTCTAATTATGGTTGTTTCATCTCGTGTCAGCTCTCCTCCTTTTCCAGCCTGCACTTCTAAGAAACCAACTCAGCCATACAAGAGAGGCAGAGAGTTGCTCGTGTTTGAGACAAGGTACCTCATTGCCATGAAAATCTACAAGTGTTTTCAGTTCTGCTCTACGGAACAGAGCTTTATGTTCTTTACCCAGTGAAAAGTCCAATAGCTGCTCATAACAAAATCAAAGAATCAATATTCAGGTTGAAGTCCCCACCCATTTGGAATAAAAACTGCAATTTAAGCCAAATTAAATTCCGCAGCTGATGCTTTGACTCGTTACATATCGCCATCAACCACACGGTTTTAAAATACATTTGATAGTGAGAGGTTTCCACATCCTTATTAGTAATGCTTCGTTCCCCTCTCCAACCGAGGTGAGATCTTACAATCCACCCCTTTGAGGGCCTAGCGTCGTCATTGGCATACCTGCTCGACGTTTGGCTCTGGTACCATTTGTAACAGCCATATTGGACTTTACTTTATGAGCTTCCCCTCAAGATTTTAAAACGCGTATGTTATGGAGAGGGTCTAGCTCTACTCCGACTAGTGCTTCACACCGTCCGATGACTGGCTTTGACACCATCTATAATGGCCCAAGCCCACCGTTAGCAGATATTGTCCGTTTTGGCCTGTTACGTATCGTCGTCAACCTCACAGTTTTAAAACGTGCGTACTAGGGAGAAGTTTTCACACCCTTATAAGGAATGTTTCGTTTCCTTCTCCAACGAAGTAGCATATCACATCTTTTATGAACAATTACCTTGCTGATAGGATATGCAACAGGAAAGCAAATCCAAACAAGAAGCCTCACAAATGGAGCCACTGCTGCACCAATAGCCAAACCATATCTAGAACAAACAGCTTGAGGAATAATCTGCGAAAACAGAGCAAAAGAACATGTTCTAATTTCTAACCTGTAAGTCGTTCTCTTCTCACTTAGAATACTAACAAAAGTAAGTGAAAGTTTGATATATCATCTCACCTCACCAAATAATAAGATCAAAGTGACAGAAATCAATATGGCTCCCCAAGCTGTCACCAAACTATCCAAAAATATTGGAAGTGCCTGTCAAAGTAAACACAAAACAGTGATTTTTTTCTTCAGCTGAAACAATATGGCAAAGAGCTCAACTTTCCAGCAGTGTTACAGTTACCTCCATGGCAGCAGCATTACAGATCAATAAAGTGCAAAGCAGCAAGTGCTGTCTTCTAACAACTGGCAGTATCTTTGCTGTTATGTTAACGAGAGAGCATTAGCAGAAAATTTTTGCCACGAAAGTGAAAGAAAAGTTAGAAGAGGATGAAGAAGAGCACCCGCATGTTTACGATCACTTGGTTTTCCAGAATTGGCAAGAACTTCAATCTCGACGAGGCTCATAGACATGAGGCCAAGAGTGAGGCCAGACATCATCCCAGCAAACAACACCAAGAACACCACTATTCCAATGCGACTGAAGAATCCTGAAGTGCAGCAGCTATATTCCACGCCCATTTTCAGTACTACCTTCTCGTTCTTGATTTTGTGTTGGTTCAGAAGGAGGAGCTTCAGAAAGTAGCTAAAAAACACTGAACTTCTTGGAGACAGGACAGGATGAAGAAGACATGCTATACATGTTCCTGCTGGGGTTCAGTATGGTTAATACAAGGGTGTTTGGTAGTGTTTTAGGATTTTTTAGAACTCGTTTGACTATCCAATCTAAAATAAAGTATCATAAAATTTCAGAAAATAAGATTAGATTAGGATATGATGGACAGATTGGTTAAAAATTGACAGTTTTGTGACAAAAGTAGAGAGCTTTGAACATATTCTATACTTGTTCTTGAAGATGAGAATACACATCCAACTCGTAATCCAATTCTAAATTTAAATCTGATTTTCAAAAAAAAGAAAAAATACAGAATCAAATTGTTAAGGTAAACTTCAAAATTAAAAGATTTAAAACAAAATCATTATAAAATTTGGATGACTATTTTGAAATCTGAATTCGACATCGAGTGATCCGAACAATTCCCTGCGACATGGTCACTTTACTTACTCTTTGCTTTTAAGGGTGAAAATTATCCCTACAAAACGACATGAATTTTTCAACTATGCTTTGTTTACATTTACATGCAAATAGGTCACCCAACATAAAATTGCTTCAAGTAAATCACACTTAGCTATGAAGTTTCTATGATTGAGCATCGAAAAGAAACGTGTACCATGTTGATATAAATAGTAACTTTCGTTTCTTTTAAGTTTTTCTTAGCCATCTTATTCTTAGGATCAGATGTTGTATCGATTCCCCTTATTTGTTCGAGTGACACATTAAATCTAAAATATTAAACAATATAAATTGTCAATTGATAATATTTGAAATATGTAGTTATAGTTAAGAAAAACATGAACGTGAATCTGATTCCCGATTGTCACCGTCAATCAAAAAAAGTTGAGGATTGATGGAATATTAATCAACATTTCTTAGTGGAAAACATGTTTTACGCACTACACTTCACTCTTCTTTTTTTTATTAATAGCTTCACTTCTAGGTCATCTACGAAAGTTTAAAAAAACATGTCAAGGTGTCGCAAAAGAGAGCTAAGTTTGGTTAGGTTAGAAAGAATTCTTCCATACATTATCGAGCCAGTATGGAAATGTATGACAACAACGACTATAAATGCATCGACGTATGTTGAACAAATATCGCACGATTGTGCGAACCTTCGGACTATTAATAAAAACGACCTCTAACCACATGAAAGCCATAGATTAACCATCTATGAAAGTTTTAAAGGAGGAAAAGAATGATAATTAAGAGGCATTTAGAGGCATTTTGAAGTTGAATTAGAGCTGTGGGCCTAATCTTGGGTTGTCGGCAAGGCCTACGGCCCGGGGAAAAGCGCTTAAGGCTTGACCCCGTGGGTATGGAATTCGGATGGGCTGAGTACGGCCGACACAAATGCCGTCGATTCAATTATTGCGTAGGCGTGTGACACCACTCGCGTTGAAGGGTCCCGCCAACGCTCAACTCTCTTACTACTCAATATCCTCCTACCATCGACCGCTAAAATTATGACCCTTTCTATTTCCCACTTGC